ATCCTATCAATTAAAGGCAAAAAAAATGCCCTAAAATATATCTTAAAAAAAAGCTTGTTTAGTGGACTAACTTTGCACTTGAAGTATACCCATTCACTTACATTTTAACAGGTCTGACACTACTATGCACCCCGGCTGTATCTAGGCTAACTGCTAACATGCTAACTATTATTTTTATGTCACTAGTCACTTGAAACAAATTTAGGACGATAGGAGACAGGCTGAAATAAACCGAAATTTCCCTTTAACTTCCAATTTAACTGTAAACCTGGCTACACTTTAGAGGGAAATAGTTTACTTTTCACTCCACCATAGAAAACTCAACTTATTAGTATCAGCAAGTACAGGCAACAACAAAGGAGGGACTCAACAGCGGGACTGTCCATTGTGCCGAAGTTGTTCTGAAATCCCAAAGCCTTGTTAGTCTGAGAAATGTCCTATTGGACCAAAAGGTCATTTTTCAGAGAACCTGTTACCCCAAAAACAAACGTCTATTGCTCTAAGGTCACACACTCCCAGCACTTAGACAATGAATCGCCAGAAAGAAATGCTTGCATTGTACATTTCCTAAACCACTGATACATTATATTTGCCAACAATGCTATGGTGAAAGTGTGGTTAGGTTTAGGCAGAAGTTGGTTATGGTTTGGAAAAGATGGTTTGGTTTAAAACACCCACGTTTGATGGCACAAAGTTGCTCGAAAAGCAGGGACAGGTCTTTGAAAAACACTCAGGTTTAGTGGCTCAAATGCAGCTGGGAAACTGAAACTAACTACAGGGAGTGTGTATTTTGGAGAAACAGGACTTCAGAGCATTTTTTTTATTTGTTTTGTTTTGTTTTGTTTTTTGGGGAGGATAACAGGCTGTTGGAGAAATGGGCTTTCAGTCTAATAGGACAGTTTTAAGACTAATGGGGCTTTGGAATTTTGGGCTGTCAGAACAATGACACAGCACCCTCAAAAGCATGACACGATAAACTCAATGATAAGTTAAAGTCTATATTTGGAGGACTCAGAGTTCGGCACACAGGAATCAGTCCAAAACACTTAGGCAGAGCTTTGCAAAAACACCAGGCAAGCAACTAAAAAATACAGAGGACAGGTCAAGTATAGGAACACAAAAGGAAAATTGCTGGGACACTCACTAGATACTAGACAAACAGGCACAAACAAAGGGGAGCACATGGATTAAATACTCAAGGGAGGCAGGGTAATGAGGGACAGGTGAAACTAATCAGGGCGGGGAAGGTAATCACACAGGTGGGAAATGGAGGCAGAAAGTAAGAGGCCGTTTACACGTACACGGTGATTTTGATAAACGGAGACATCTTCCTTCGTTTGTGCCCTTCGTTTACATGCAAATGGAGATTTCTCCTTTGAAAACGAGTCTTTCTAAAAATTCCGGCCAGAGTGGAGATTTTGGAAAACTCTGGTTGCGCGTTTGCATGTAAACTGAGATAAACAGAGATAAATGGAGTTATAGGCAGTCAACGTCACAGTATGCGCCGGAACTTGCGCCTGTGTCAAAAGTGCGACCTATGTTGCTATGGTGACAATGGATACATGGAAGGCTTGAGCTTCTCGTTACACTGCCACCTACAGGTTTGGCATGCTCTTGTGTATATATACACGGGTAAGTGTAAACGAAGATCTTTTTGAAAACGGAGACGGTGAAATGCCTGTTTATGAAAATAGCCGGCAACATGTAAACGGCCTCTAAGGTGACAGGAATTATTGTTGTTATTAAGACACAATATGACTACAAAGAGACATATTGTGACTACAAAGAGACACAATATGACTACAAAGAGAAACAAAATAGCTACAAAGAGACACAAAATGACTATACAGAGACACAATGTGACCACAGACACAATATGACTACAAAGAGACACAATATGACCAAAAAGAGACACAATATGACTACATAAAGACACAAAATGACTACAAAAGAGGCAAAACTACCAAAGACACAAAACAAAGAGAAACAGAATCACCTTTAAAGACACATAAATCCACAGACAGATGCGCAGTAACAACAACAAGAAGCAAACCACCAGCAAAAAGAGGCCTGTGTGGTTTGCTCCTATGTAAGAGAGGTGGTTGGGCCTAATGCATGTCTGTGCCCAGGGGCCCATTGTCTCATAATCCACCCATCAGTATTAATGAGAATATTTCAGTCCTCACTGAATTAGTAGACTGATACGCTTAGGTTATATATCTTTTACAGTATTTAATTTATGAGGAAAATAATGTTTGGGAGCCACAGTGATCCTGTTTGAGCAAGCTTTGATTACCTTTCAGTGTTCTAGTCTCAATGTCTCCACTAAGGGGTGCTGCAGGGTGAAGGTCACTACTCAACAGAACAGACAGATCAGTGCGGCTCATTTCGCTCTGGAAAGATACAGTGCAGTGATTCATTTATTCAGGAAAAAGAGGAAAGTCTGCAACACAGGTACAACTCCCTCAGTGAATGCGGCACATAGAAATTCAGATGCTGAAGAGCTGTAAAAAGTTGATATATTGTGTGTGACCTGTTATTATGATGTTGTGTGTAATATGTACTTTATCCATTTGTATTTTTTCTAAAATAAACAAACTACTCAATGTGATTTCATGCAAGTGTTTAAAGATCTCAAAGTGACACTGAGAAGTCTGTTTAGTCTGGAGCTCACCTTTCAACATCACTGAAAACTTCTGAGACACTGAGCCAATATTCAGACTCATTAAGTCAAAACTGTGGCTTATTTTTCTTGTAACTAGTGTCAGGATCAGCCCGCCCACACTGCAAATTTGAGGTACTTGAAAATTCATCATCACAAAGGTGAGAACAGGGCTGTTTTTCTGACACGATGAAAAGTGGAATTTTTAGAAATATGTGGTTCTAACAGGGCTGCGACACTTCAAACATATGATAAGCTTGCCCACCACCTATTGAAGTGTGCTCACCTTTTTTCTCTTATAAATTAAGATCCAGGCGTTAAGGAGGTTTTTACCAGGAGCCGAATTATCCGCAGACTGATGCTTTTGCTGTGGAGGGGTGCTATAACTACAAGCCAGTGTTTGGCTTGTCCATTCTGGGCTACTGTAGAAACATGGTGGGGCAACATGGCGGACTTCATAGAAGAGGACCCGCTCCCTTTGAGCTATGAGCGGCTCATCCCAAGGTAACCAAAACATAATTCTTATTTTTAGGTGATTATAAACTGAAGAAAACATAAAAACTCCTACACACTGGACCTTTAAGTGAGGTTTTGAATGCAGGACTGTTACTTGTAGTGGTGTAGTTTAACAGCGTGAAAATCCGAAAGTTTCATTGCTGATGCTTGAAGTGTTTTAGTTTGCTAAAATGTAACATCGCCGGTCTTTCTGGTCTCTCTTTTTTGAATTTGTTGTTTAATGTACTGAAGCAAGCGACGGCGATTGAAGACATGCTCAACTCTCTGCAGAGCCCAGAAGTCCCGCAATTTCTCGCAATTTCTATTCACAGCTATTCACCTGTTTCCACACATTTCATATGTAAAATTATTTCTGCAAAACCATACACAAAAGTGTTCAAATAAATCATTCATTGCGCTGTGTGTTAATTCAGCTGACACATGCTCTCAATATAATTAACTCAAGTCAAAACAAGATAAACTCAGATACCACACCTTCTCCAGGTGCAAAATAAAGCCTCAAAACTGTCAACACACCAATCAGCATTGCACAGATCAATAACCAGGGTGTCAAGGCATGTTCATGTGCTTAATCCTAACAATGTCAAGTCAAGATTATTCATATAGCCCATTATCACAAGTCACAATTTGCCTCTGAATGCTTTACAATCTGTACAGCATACGACCCCCTCTGTCCTCAGACCCTCACAGTGGAGGGATCAACCCTCTCCCAGGATGGACAGACATGCAGTAAATGTTGTGTGTATATAATGGACCAACATGGTAAAATTACAATATAGACAATCCCTATATGACAAATTGATACAAATGCAATTCCATAATCTGCAAGACAACAGAAAGGAAGAGGATGACTTTAAGAGAAGCTGTACAGACAGTGCAACCCATAGACTGTATCAAATAATGGAGGTAGCTTCAGAATTTACATTACTGCATGTAGCAAGTGTAGATATTTCACAGTTTTTATATACAGGTAGAGATATTGCACATGAGTGATGATTAATTGTCCATGGTTTCTGTATGTGGTCTACTGGGAGCAGTGCGGGTTGTATAGTCTGACAGCTGCAGGAAGGAAGGACCTGCGGCATCTCTCCTTCAAACACCGCAGATAAAGCAGCCTGTCACTGAAGGAGCTGCCCAGTGCTGACAAAGTGTCCTGCATGGGGTGGGACATGTTGTCCATAAGGGATGATAGCTTGGCTATTGTTTTCCTTTCTCCCACCACTTCCACCAGGGTCGAGGGATCATCCGTGGACAGAGCTGGTCTTCTTTATCAGTCTGCTGAGTCTCTTCCTGTCCCCCTGTACTCCAAAGGACCTGAGTCTCCTCAGCAGATTGAGTCTGCTCTGTCCTCTTTTGTACAGTGCATTAGTGTTTTTTAAATTAAAAAAATATATATAAGTGAGAGGAGAGGAGGGAAGTCTTTTTTGGTGTGTGTATCATTTCAACCTTTTTTGTCCCTAATAAAGACTAATTTGAAGGGTTGTGAAAAATTGGCTGGTGTTTATCTTTTCTAGTTGGTAAGGATGAAGCAAAAATATTTTTAATCATTAATAAATAACCTATAAAGCAGTCGTAATTTCAGGAAGCCTTTTAAATATCCATTTTTGCGCTCATTTCTTACAGCTTAGGCTATTAAAACCCTTCATATCAAGTGTTCTAACTTTTCCTCCTCTCTTTTATTTAATTTTTATTTTCTAAAATATTGTGACCCGAGTATCTCCCCCTGTGCTATAACACATCCTACTACTGAGGAAAAGCCCACGCCTTTTTTCATGTACTATACATTCTTGGTCACTGGCGCGCTTTTACGCACAGCGATACGATGAGCGGCTGGACGTCTCCTCGCGCTCTCCTGACCTCCCTCTGCCTCTTTCTGCTTTTGCACTGCTCAGGCGCTGCGTCGACTTTCGAGGTAACGCTGCTGCACACCAACGACAACCATGCACGGATCGAGGAGACCAGCGAGGACTCGGGGAAGTGTCTAGACGGGGGTCCGTGCTTCGCCGGGGTCGCCAGAAGGTTCACCAAAGTGTCGGAGATCCGCAAAAAGGAGAAGAACGTGCTGCTTCTGGATGCTGGGGACCAGTTTCAGGGGACTATCTGGTTCAACTACTATAAAGGTGCCGAGGCAGCATACTTCATGAATAAACTCGGCTATGACGCGATGGTAAATGCTTATAATTATGTTTTTATTGAAACCACACACCTGGGTGTTTGTTGGTGTTTTCCTATGAGAACCTGCTCTGATAATAGAATTGTGGAGTTAGTTTTTTAATAGATAAACTCACTGGAGCTTGCTGCTGATACCAATCAGTGTGCTTTTGTTTAAAGGCTTTTGGAAACCATGAGTTTGACAATGGAGTGGAGGGTCTGATAAAGCCCTTTCTCCAGAATGTGAGTTGCGCTGTGGTGAGTGCCAACATAAAACTTGACCAGACTCTAGATGCAACCTTCAGCATCCAGTACCAGCCCTACACACTCCTAGATGTTGGCTCAGAGAAAGTGGCTGTGGTCGGCTACACCACTGCAGAAACCCCACTCTTATCCCAGTCAGGTATTTAATTAAAGTGTGTAATGTTGCATGCAGCAAATCATGTGTAAAGTGACTTAAAGCTTTCTGGAGCTTCAATATTTAGTGTGTCTCTTCTGTTTTCCCATGCACTGCAGACATTTCACTTTCACTCTCATTGTTTTTTCCTTTGTCTGTTAGGCCCACACCTACAGTTTGAGGATGAGGTGCAGGCACTTCAGATTCAGGTCGATAAGCTGAGAACCCTGGGTTATAATAAGATCATCGCCCTGGGCCACTCTGGCTTTGACGTAGATCAAGACATTGCCAAGCGTGTGAGAGGAGTCGACGTTGTTATTGGAGGACACACCAACACTTTCCTCTACACTGGTATTTTTATCCTGTTGCATCACATTCAGGTTCAATTAGGTTTACAAAAGATCAGCTCTCTTGTATCATCATCATTTTAACAGGAAGTCTTTTTTTTTGGCATCCCACTATGCTCAGATACGTAAACTGTGCTCTGTAGATGTGAGACGTGAGTTCAAAACTGCATGAACAAAAAGCATGGTTTTACTGCCACTGTAACAGGAAGTGAGAAACGTGCACTGCAAACTTTCTCTACAGGAAAACCACCATCCACTGAAGTACCTGCAGGTCCGTACCCTTTTATGGTGAGGTCTAACAATGGGAGAGATGTGCCGGTGGTCCAGGCCTTTGCCTTTGGGAAGTACCTGGGATACTTGAAAGTTACCTTTGACGAGGCCGGGAATGTGGTGAAGGCTGTTGGGAACCCCATCCTGATGGACAGCAGCATACCTCAAGGTAAATGACAGCCTAACAGCCCCTGTTTGTCTTTACAGTTGTTGTTAGTCATGCGTTTAGTAATGTGTTTGCATGAGTGAATAAGTGTGTGTGTGTGTGTAAATCCGTCTAGCCGCAGTTGATCTTGCAAACTACTGGACCAATCAGCCTCATATTTTGCATGCACACGTATAACTGTATGCTCAAGTATCTTTTGTGGTTGTGGTGATTCACAGTTGTTTAAACACCTTTTTTATACCATCATTAACTGATGACTCCTCAGTCCTCTTAACCAGCCAGTAGGAAATCAGCTCAGCTAAAAACAGCAAGCCTAACCTAGTCTGAGTGGGCGGAAGTTCACTGCATAGATCAGCTTCTCATTGGGTGGAACGAGCCACCTGCTGAAGTACCGCCCTACCACCTCCGGTTGTCATAGTAGACAAACGTCCTTTACTAACTTTTGCAGTGTTTGATCTTGCGGGGATGTAGCCATTTTTCTGCCATGGTTCGTGTCCTGTAGGCGATATTTTTGTGGGCGTGTTACACCAAAACCTGTTTCCTAGTTTCCCTGTTTACCCAGAATGATTGTGATTGGTTGAAAGAAATAAAAAAAGCCGGGTCGTTTTTTCTCCAATCTTAAAGTGAGAGTAGGCGCAGCCAGACCTTTCTTTTCTTGAGAAAGGTCTGGTGAGTGAGACTAAGCCTAACCTAGTGTATTGAAGGCCACATGTTCGTCTTCGTCTACCCAAAGTTAGGCATGATATGAGATGACTAACACCCCGACCACACAGAAAACATTTTATCAGCTGGAGGCAGTTTTTCATAATTGTTTTTAAAGAGAATGAAGCTATTTGTTTGCTGTTTTTCCGCTGCGACACGCCTTGCATTTCTGCGCTCTAGGCATCTGGTGTTTTTGGCGAAGCGCTCTGAACTCAGGGTAGGAAGGTGATGGGGAGCAAGCATTTTTTTACTGGTTGCATTCAAATTTTTAAAGAAAAAGGCAGCGCAGTGCGCCTCGCATTTGCAAAATGCTTTCTGTGTGATCAGGGCCCAAGTCCTCTTTTTGTTATCTTTGCTGCCATTTTGACTGTAAGGGAGCCAGGAGGGACAATTCCACCGGGCCTAGCTTTAGAGGTCTTATACCGTCCACTGCACGGCGTTAAACCATACCGGGAGTGTTTCAGAAGCAGATGATTTTAACTTGCAGATTTTGATGTTTTGGTCATTTTTCTTTGATATTTATGCCTCATTAGTAAGCAAGTAGGCAGTTAATGGTTTCTATTAACTGGCTGTGTTTTAGTTATTGAAAATACATTCATCCTCATTATCATATTTACATTTCACATACAGTGCCGATAACCAGGAAACCTTGATCTGCTCTGTGGCTTTGTCATGAATATACGAGGCGTGTATTTTTATCACCTTCTGAAATGTGCTGCAGTGCGTCTACTGAAATTACAAGAGTGGGTGTACTTTGTACTAGTTTCAGTAGGAGAAATGATTCCAGCTGAAAACTGATTCCAGATTGTCCCATCCATTGGAATTATTTGTCTCTAGGTTTATTAATTCTTTTGATCGATGCTAGCAAGTTTCCTTGGTAGATGCAGCAGGCTTCTTTGGTAGATGCACATTGTTAAACAATGACGTTTCACTCGTGTAACTCATGGGAGGAAGAAACGGTCCAAAATGTGCCTTCATTTCTCAATGAAAGATGCCAGCAGTGCTGCTTGTAATCTGTAAAATGATAATTTCAAGTGAGAGTGGAAGCACCAGCTGTATACTGAAACATCTTATCAACATGGACTTAAATTCCAGGGATGCCATGTATCTGACACTCAAGGCACGCGTGCCACAGCTCCCCAACAGAGCATGTCTGTTACCGAGGGTAAATATACCGTGGTATGATATGATTTAGCCAGGCAGGCTTAGCAGGATTTTCTTTTTTTTTTTTTTTGTTGACTAAAAAAACGGCTAAAGAGTGAAGCTTCTGCACACCTGAGTCACATCTACCCCTTTTCGACAGGCATGGGCTGGCTTGTCGTGGCGTGGGTTGGCTTGGCTTGGCTTTGACCATCAGCCATCATTACAACAGGGCTACATTCTTGAAGGTGTGTCTTAAACTCATGACGGCTTGTCTTGAGTGATGACATTTGAAAGCAGAGTGCTGATCCCCAGCTCAAGTCCCCTGTTACTTTTGCTGCATGTGTTTTTCCATCACACAGCAGGGCAGGTAAAAGAAGTTTACCTGTTGGAGGTGAGCTGTGTGCAGAGTAAGAGCCTGTTGTCTGCAGCTGTTCATCAACATCTCACTGTGGCTGTTTCTGCTTTCACTTTCCTCCCTGCCGTATTATTAGACTTGTCTTTCAAAGAAAAGACGCTAACAAAGTGCCGCTAATCCAGTAAAAACACATTTCATTTCCTATAGATTCTTTACAATATAAGTCCCTCCTTAATTTGTATAAACTTTTTTTGTGAAGCACCAAAATAAGGAAATGTTGAGGTTTCGAGAAGAAACTTCACACAACTCCTAATACGGGTGATAGCGAACATGAAACAGTAAAATAAAGCAGGTATCTAAAAACAGGCCACAGAAGACCAAACCACAGAGATTCAGTTAGAAGCTACAGAAGTACTGAGAGCTGAACACACAACCTTTTAAAAGCACCTTTCTCTCTTGCGTATGCGAGCTTTATATGGCCTTATTTCTAGCCTGTTTCTACACTGTGTTCAGACTCAGAGTTAATAAAACAGTTGCGTTGATACAGAAAACCTGTGTAAGCCTACTTTTTTCCACAAAGAAAACTGATCAGGAATCAAGTAGGGAATCTATAAATGATCATACTGATAACCAGAATCAATAATGGCACTGGGTTCACCAAAACTGTATAATTTCCCATCCCTCTATTTCACTGGATAAAAGGTTGCAACAGTTAATTAAACCAAATAGGATTTCAGCATGTTAAAAAAACTTTGTGACATTGAAGTGACTTGAATCAACATGCCTCTCTGTGTGAGCATGAATCAATAATCAGTGTACATCTTGGAATAATTTTAGTAATAGCTTTGGTGTTTACACAACTGTTGAAACAAAAGCTTGGACTACTACTCGGAAATGATTCATCTAAATGCATCTAGATTACTTCTGATTATGTTCTGTAAGAGTTTAATGGAAACATAATCCATTTTCCTTTTTCAAGGGTTCATTCAAAATCATAAACCCTTCTTTTATACAAGCTTTATGTGTTTTGTGACAGACCCAGACATCCTTGCTGACATTGAGGAGTGGAAGAAAGGTTTGGCTCAGTACTCCTCGAAGTATGTCGGACAGACCTTAGTCTACCTCAACGGGACGTTTGAAGAGTGCCGATTTCGGGAGTGTAACCTTGGAAATCTGATCTGTGATGCTGTGGTAATTATATGGATTATTATTCAGGCAACCATATTTGCTTTGCTATTATTTTTCATATTTGCTGACACTGTCACTATATTCAGAAAGTTGGTCCAGCTGGTGGGTAGACTTACAAGTCAGTCTTTAGACGCTTTGCTTAACTAAAGACTGATGTCTTTCTCCCAGATTTTGTGTTTAGATGGGCGGAGACAATTTCAGAGTTTAAAAAAACTCCCTACGTTGCAGAACCAATAGTAAATCCGCAGGGCGGTTCTTTGGTGGCTTGCTGAACTCTTGTGCTCATAAACATAATCTGACTGCGTTAAAAGTTTTAAACAAAGTCGCTGTAAGTCCTTCATTTTCACAATCTTGTGGACTGAGTTAAATCCCTCTGCATCCATTTTCAAGCTCTCTGTGTGTTTGTTTCCTTGTTGATGAGAAAAGGGGGAGCACACATTTCCGGGAGGGTGTGTCCTTTTAAAAAAATCACAAACTCTCATTTTACATCTAAACAGTACACTAAAACAGAGGTTCCCAACTTGTCCAGCCATGGGGTTGAAATTTCTCCTTAGTCATTAGTTCAAGGTGCACAGAGTTGAATAAACTCAGCGTCAAATTTTGCATTTCTTCATGTCGTTGAGCTAGTTTGCTGTCTCTGTTAAGTAGGTGTCTGTTAGTCACTCACTCTACAGCAGGAAACGGCACTACAAAATAAAAGCTCTGCGCCGGAAAGTCATTGTACTTTAACATTAAGGGCTCTAGTTTCGCAGACCACGCGAGGAGGAGGCGCAGCGCACCTGCGCTTCGCCAACTGGGTGTGGCCAGGCGGATTTTGCAAGTTTGGCACACTGTGCGCCTGGCGCAGCTACTCCTCTTTTCCACCTCCATCCCTCCTACCTGCGCAAGTCAGAAAGAGGGAGGAGAGAAGGTGTGGAGTGGGTTTTACACACATCACACCAATCAAATGAGCCCCTCTCCTCGCCCTTAAATGTGCCGCACGAAGGCGTAATGAGAGGTTACTCAATTCGCCATGGCAGAAGAGAGCAGCAGCGTCAGACGGCCAAACTTCTCCCAGGAGGAAACTGATGTTTTGGTCCGGGAGGTCCAAGCTCGCAGTGTCCGAATATACGGAAATACGAGCAGACCTCCACGGGCTGATAATGCAAAGGTAGCCTGGGAGGAGGTCATCACAATTGTAAATCAATGTTGCGTTTCTCTCGCGCTCGCGCGCTCTCTCTTTCTCTCTCACAGTCTCACTCTGTTTCTTTTCTTTTGACTTTTCTAAGATGACAGTTGCTGAATATATACTACCTATCTGATGCTGTGGCTGTTTGTGGTTGGCTGAGAGGGATGTGAACTCATTAGTTTGCAGCTGTGTTAATCAAATCAGGTTGGGTTTCCATTACGCGTGCCAAACGGTACCAATCCCCTTTGATCTGACATCAGATGTGACGGGACAGTCGATATAGAGATACATTTATGTGCTTTAGTTGCATTGAATAGTGGTTTTTTGGGTATTTATTTTATTGTTAATGTGCCTGATATTCTGGAAACCTGCCTGTGAGGTTTTGGTGACGTGTGCGCACTGTCCGCCGGTCAGCCAAACTTCGGCTTACACCGGCTGCGCTCCGCCTGCGCTGACAGTAGACCTGGTTTCAGCTGGCGAGCTTTTAGCGCACCTTCAGCGAAGCCTTTTGGCATGAAACTGTCACTGCGCCAAGCTGGATCTGTCGACACTTCCCCCTGCTGCGCCGCCACACCCATTTCAGCGCACCTCGGTCTGCCAAACTACCAAACTGAGCGTGCCTCGGGTTGCGCTGCTCGAAACTAGCACTGCGCGGGGTTCGCCACTCTGCGCTGCGCCGGGAAACTAGAGCCCAAAGTGCTCGTACTCGTACTCGTCGTCCTCCGCTTATCCGGGACCGGGTCGCAGGGGCAGCAGCCTCAGCAAAGAAGCCCAGACAGTCCTCTCCCCAGCCACTTCCGTCAGTTCTTCCGCGGGAACCCTGAGGCGTTCCCAGGCCAGCCGGGTGATGTAGTCCCTCCAGCGTGTTCTGGGGCGGCCCCGAGGTCTCCTCCCGGTTGGACATGCCTGAAACACCTCCCAAGGGAGGCGTCCGGAAGGCATCCTTACCAGATGCCCGAACCACCTCAACTGGCTCCTCTCAATGTGGAGGAGCAGCGGCTCTACTCCGAGTCCCTCCCGGATGTCTGAGCTCCTCACCCTATCCCTAAGGCTGAGCCCAGCCACCCTGCAGAAGAAACTCATTTCGGCCACTTGTACTTGCAATCTCATTCTTTCGGTCACTACCCAGAGCTCGTGACCATAGGTGAGGGTTGGAACGTAGATCAACCGGTAAATTGAGAGCTTAGCTTTCTGGCTAAGCTCCCTCTTCACCACAACGGACCGGTTAAGCGCCTGCATCACTGCTGACGCC